CCCCAAGTAATCAATCCTTATTGGTTAATTAGTTTTGGGGGGAGCCTTAAATATCTTTGGACTGTATTTATTATTATTTGCTCTTTTCTCTGACTGCTTCTACTTGTCCTGTGATTGCATGCATTTGGAATTCCAATAGGACTTCCCTTACAGTGGCAGGGATACATTGGAGGAAATTTATAATGCCTTCTGAAGAAAGAATCCAAAGGAAAGTTGCCTGGATCTTTAAGAATATTATCTATTGCACATGGATTCTCAGAGATAAATTTTGGTGTGCTCTGTGTAGAAAAGGACCTTAGATAATTTTGTCCACATGCTATTGGATGACCTTATATGGTGAAGGAGTCATGGAAGAATTTTCACCCAGTATGGTTAGTTTCTTTCCTGAGAATGAAATGATAACTGCCTATCCTAAATTTCTTTGGGGGAGCTCCACATGGTCTAGGAAACTCTCTAAGAATAAGATTTCCTTCTGAGACAGGAAGCCAATTTTTTTGTATTTTTCATTTCTTTATTGTCTTTTGGGTGAGTAGACATTTTCAAGCGCTAAGACTGGCATTTGTTGATTTATTAACTAAGCTGTAATCCTCAGTAAACATTGAGAATTTATATTTTGCTAAATATGCATAATTTGGTATTTATGGACAATTATGATTTTTCCTGGTGCTTGTGGGACCGTATATGATTATACCACATTCAGTGGTTTGACAATTCTTTCTTATATAGCACCAGAGGCAGTAAGTAAAAGAACAATGCTTATGCTGCCAGGGACCCCAGAGGATTATTCTTCATTAAGGAAATGGACAATTTGTTCAAAATGCATCCCAGCCAGTTTTCTGAGGGGAGCAATTTTTCAGATGATGGTAGAATACAACAGGGACTGGCACATAGTACAGTGCCTCTGACAGCATCTCCCAGTGTGAAAAGGCTAGGAAGCCCATTTCCAGGATAGTGGTAATGATGGGAATAGAAGGGCTTTGGAAAGACTGTGTAGCATGTATAGACATTCCATAACTGGTATGCCAAAGACATGGATAGAAGCCTTTTTCAATTGGCTGTGTAGCTGGAACTGGGGAATACCTACACAAAAAGTCTAATCATCCTCTACCATTCTTTTCAACTACTTTCTCTTGATTTGACTCCTTCACTAACAGCATCTTGATGTGAGACAATGTTATAAAGAGAGAGGCCTTAGAAGCACTGGCTGTGAGGCCTAGAGGTGGCAGCAGTAGCAGCAGCAGGGGTGGCATCAGGGTGTCTCACACCTACGGGCAATAAGGGAACTAAATACTTCATCAGAAAAATATTACAAAGGATGCCTGTATTAGCATTGTGGTCACAGGACTGGCTACTATTTGGTACCTCCTCCACACATTAATCAGTTACAAGTCATAACTTCAGAGTAGAGAGGAGTGATTATGATTTGTAGCCATGAGGGAGCAGAGGCCCTACCTGGGCAAGGATCAGTGCACAGAGCAAGAGGATAGTAACCAGAACTCTCTCTGGATCATACCACCTTGGAAGTACTGAAAACCTATGCCACAGAAGCTCAGGCTAGCCATCCCCCCCAGAGGCAAGCAAAGCCCAACTCTAACACAAAGTCTAAAGTCAAGAAAAGGGCTGACAAAACGAGCAAACAGCAACAACAAAAGAACCTAATCACAAAAAAAAAAACCTTTAATGATGGCGAGGAAGATGATAAACTCAGAAGAAAATAATGACTTGAAAATCTCTACAAATTGAGCCATAAAGAAAAATGCAAATTAGATACAAGCCCACTAAGAATTCTTAGAAAAGCTAAACAAAGAGATTTTAAAAGCACAAAAAAAATTATAAAAATCAAATAAGAATTCTAGAGTTAAAATGGAGAAAGAAATGAGAGTAATGCAAGAGAACTATGAAAAGAGAAATAACAGTTTGGTAGAAAAGGTACAAAACCTCACTAAAAAAATCTTTAATAATTAGAATTGGTCAGGTAGAAGCCAATGACTCTGTGAAACATTAAGAATCAATAAAGAAAAGTCAAAAGACTGAAAAATAGAAGGAAATGTGAAACATCTCTTCAGGAAAATGATAAGCCTAAAAAATAGATCATAGGGTTAAGAATTGTTGGCCTACCTTGGACATCATATCACAAGAAATTACAAAGGAAAACTGACCCAATATAAAAGAAACATAAGGCAAAATCAAAATAGAAAAAATCTACTGATCACCTTCTGTAAGAGGTTCAAAAATCAAAATTCCAGGAATATCATAGCCAAATTCTGGAGCTCTCAAGAGATTTAGAGGAAACATGGCAAGCAACCAGAAAGAAATAATTGAAATAACATGAACACAAGATTTAGCAGCTAGCATATTGAAGGAACAGAGGCTTGAAATATGAAATTTCAGAAGGTAAAGGAGCTAGGATTACTAGAATAATACAAGAATAATCTACCCAGGAAAAATAAATATAATCTTAAGGTGGCAGAGAGGTGTGTGTGAACATTTAATGAAATTGAGGACTTTCAAACATTCCTGATGAAAAGACCTAAATTAGGGGGTGAAAAATAAACAAAGAAACTATAAACCAATTTCCCTAATGAATATTGATGAAAAATGTAAATGAATACTAGCAAGGAGACTACAGAATTATATCACAAAGATCATACACTATGACCAGGTAGGATCTGTACCCAGGAATGTAGGATTTGTGCAATGTTAGGGATACTATAAGCATATTTGACCATATCCATAACAAAAATAGCAAAAAATCACATGATTATATCAAGAGATTCAGGAAAGACTTTTTTGACAAAAGCTTTTTGGAAACACCCATTCTTATTAAAGACACTAGAAAGCGTAGGAAAAAGTGGCTCTTTTCTTAAAATTATAAGTGCTGTCTGTCTAAAACCAAGAATAAGCATCATCTATAATGGGATAAATCAGAAACTTTTCCAGTAAGATCAGAGTTGAATCAACGATGTCCATTGTCACCAATACTATTTAGTATCATACTAGAAATGCTAACTAGACCAATGAGATAAGAAAAAGAAATTGAAAAAATAAGGATAGGCAACAATGAAACAAAACTATCATCTTTTTACAGATGACATGATGGTATACTTAGAGAACCCTAAAGAATCAACTAAAAAACCAGTCAAAGTAATTAACAACTTTAGCAAAGTTTCAGGATATATAAAAAAGCCAAATAAGTCATCAGCATTTCTATATATTGCCAACAAAACCCAGCAGGAAAGGATTGAAAGAGAAATTCCATTTAAAATAACTGCAGATGGTACAAAATACTTGGAAGTCTACTTGCCAGGTCACACACAAAAACTATATGAACACAATTATAAAACCCTGTTCACATAAATACAGATCTAAACAATTGGAGAAATATCAATTGCTTGTGGTTAGGCTAAGTCAATATAATAAAAATAATAATACTACCTAAATTAATTTACTCATTCAGTGACATACCAATTAAACTGCTGAAGAATTATTTTGTGGAGCTAGAAAAAATGATTACAAAATTTATATGGAGGAATAAAAGGAACCAATAAAAAAGAAAGCAAAGAAAGTTGGCCTAACAGTGCCAGATCTCCAATTATGCTACAAAGTGGTAGTTATCAAAACAATCTGGGATAAGAAATAGAGTGGCTGATCAACAGAATAGATTAGGCATATAATATATAGAAGTAAATAACCATAATAACCTAATATTTGATAAACCTAAAGATCCACTCTTTGAGTTTTCACTGTAATGTGAAAATTTACCACATTAATTTTTTTACATTATGGCAAACATTTTTAGCCACTAAAATATATGCATTTATACAAAGTAATATGAAAAAGTATCCATTCACATACTGTTCCTGTGTTTTACAACCTATGCATTTTCTTACATCTGCTTATGGTGATTTCTTCCTATTCCTCAAGTGCTTACAGAGTAAAATTCAAGTATACTCCAAAATACATCTTTATTTCATAACACTGATGATGCCTACCTTGTGAATTATTAGTTTTGCATTGTAATTAAAGTACTTTAATTAAGACATTCACAGTTTGGGAAAGTGAGGTCTAGAAAAGATCAATAATTTGCCTCAAATGACCCAACTAGTTAAAGGTAGAATTTGGACTTGGACCTAGCTTCTCTGACTTCCAGTCCTGGGCATTTCCCATTTTGCCATGTTGATTGATAGATACAGTCATCTTAATGCCCTATATGAAAGTGGATAATCTTGTTCATGGTAAGAATGCTTCTAATTTACATTACTTGAAGTGTGGCTCAATATGGCAAATACATCCCTTTTAGAATTTTTGGATTCAACTGCATATTGGCTTTGAATTTACAGATATCTTCTGCCTAATAGTTCTGACCAGCTACAAAGACACATGTTCTTTCCATGTAATGGGGCCAGGATCAAAATGACACCAGCAACTGTTCAGTATTTTTGTACTGTACTAACTTTAATAAAAGTTGGACAAAGTTATATCCATAATTAAACTGTCCAAGAAAGACTGACTTTGAGCACGCACGCATGCACACACACACACACACACACACACACACACACACACACATATGCACACACACAAGATGGCAGAAAAAGTCTTTCTCTTCCCAATAGAATATTTTTCTGAAGATTTCTATTGCTTCATGAAATCATATTTTCTATAATTGCTATTACCAAGAGAAATTAGTCTCTTTTTTCTGAACAAGAACAGTGAAGTAAAGAAAACAATGACAAAAAGCATTTACCAGCCATATGAATGATTCATTCTGAAGTGGATATAGAGTCATTTAAATGACAACATAATTAGGGTCATACTAATAATAAGCTATCAGTTTTAAATGTGGAAAGTACATGACAAAAATTATATAATAATATTATTTGTCCAATTTTATACAACTAGTTGGATTAAAACAATGAATTCTTTTTCAGATATTGAAAACTGGTTCTAGTGGAGTGAATTTTAGATTACATTACACTTTTTATTACAGTTTGCTCAGTTATGACATTGACATGTTGGTAGTACCTGTGGACTCTTGGTGTCTAGATCCACTTCAGTTTCCCACAGGAGACAAGAACAGTCGTGGTTGCTGAAAACTTCTCTGTTAGTTTGGCCTTTATTATAACTGAATTTTCTTACTAATGGAATTGGTTCATTAAACTGTTGAGCATTTTGACTCTAGTTGATCTCCAGCCATTGTCAGGAACACCCAGCTGTTTGTGTGGATTAAAGATTCTGCTTAAAGATTCTGTTTCAGTCTGCCTTTTCATGTTTTATTGATTTCCTCTGTTCTCTCTCCCATTTAGATGCTTTCTATTCCAAACTGGTTTTAAATTCATAAAGGTCCCTGAAAATATAGGGGGAAAAGGTATCAAGGTGTTCTAAAGCAAGAATTCTTGGTTTAAAAAATCTTTAGCAATGCTATTTCAAAATAATTCATTTCCCTAGTGATCCAATGTATTTTATATTATACATTTAAAACCATTATTCTGGAGATTCATAGGCTTCACCAGGCTGCCACAAGAAAGGTTAAGAATCCCTCCACTTGGGACAGCTAGGTGGTGCAGTGGACAGAGCTCTGGCTTTGGCATCAGGAGATCCCAAGTTCAACTCTGACCTCAGTTTAGTCCCTTTTCTTGGGACCACAGGGCATAAAGAGGAAAGGTACTTCCTGCTACCCAGCTTGGTTCATGAAACCCACTCTGCAGGTAAAGAAGACCTTCATCCCTAGATGCCATCAGAAAAGAGAGAACAAGACTGCTTCAATCTGGTAGTTTTAAAGGCTCAGTCTTTTTTAGCCATGTAGTCAATGGAGAGGGGCTACTTGCACCCATGTGGTAGGAGAATGCATGTGGTCTCCCAAAAGCAGATGCTGGCCATCTTCTACACGGGTGCCTCCATATAGGTGGTCTGGGAATGTGCCAGAGCAGGGTTCCACAGGTTGATGAGGCATTATGGCCAACCTTCTACTGCAATGGTTCTCCATACTTAGCAAAGCTGATTCTCAAAGAAAAAACATATATTCTATCTCTAGATTCAAACATCACACTTTTCTAGCTTTATTTGGTCTTCCAGCATTCATGTTTTGCTGGCATGACCTTTTAAAATTCAGGATCCTCACCACAATGAGACTTTAGCATAGGAATTAGAATATGATATCTACTCAGTTAAATATAATATAAATTAGGATATAAGTACATACATTTTCCTCCTCATTGGAATTATTTCTTTTTCCCTATTGTGAATCTCCTTCTGGAGAATTTTCCACACATCTCAGCATTATTTAACCTGTAGAATCTTAGGGAAATCCTAACTACACTTTCTTTAAAGTCCTTAAAATTTGCTTTACTAACCAGTCTACTTTTATTGGTGAGAATTGGATCCAGAATAGTAGTCTCCTTCACTGGTTTCTCCACTTTTCAAAGAATAAAATTATCATTATTATAAGTCAATAACAATTTTAGATGCTCTTCTTTTGATAAAGACAGAGTCTTCAAAAGCATCTGGATAATTGACAACTATCATTATTATATCAATCCTCTTACTAGGTATGTAAACTGTTTCCTGAATTCTTCCTCAATTAATCCTTCAGACTCACTTTTTTGTCTTTCTCCTCATTAATGGTTGTTTCCTATTTCTCCCTAATTGCAGCAACTGATTCCTTCTGTTTGCTTGTGCTACCATCTAGTTGTCTTCCTTCCATACTAAATGGGAGGGTTGCCCTGACTCAGTGGCCACAGTCAAAGGTATATACAATGATATTGCTGAAGGTTTTTAGAAACCTTCACCTGTGCAAGAGGAAGAATGGTGGGTGGAAGATATTCTGGAGTTTGGAATCAGGAGTTGCAATGAAATGCAATGGGAAGAGCACTTGATTTGCAGCCAGAATACCTGGGTTTAAATCTCTGCTACATTTCTGTGTCACCTTGGGAAAATCCCTTAACCACTCTGGATCTCCACTACCTCAATTGTAAAATGAGTGGATTGGATTATATGGCTTATAAGATCCCCTTCTCTTTTAAATTTATGATTTTATGATGCTAGCACAGCATTATCTCTAATAATAGAGATTATTATACTATTATATAGTAACATAGTATATATGTTATATATAAACTAGTCATCTCTAAACCCTAATTTTCTGTAAAATTAGGAGAATATACTATTTTTCTCAAAGATTTATTATGAAGAAACTTACATAAACATTTAAGAAACTTTTTTGTGAATTGGCTTCATATTATCTTATGTATCATAGACCACATCACAGATATTTTTGCATAATTAAATGTACTTTCTTTATACATCCACACAGATGTGTAACTAACATGAAAAAAAAAATTAACTGAGTAGCATGGCTCTGATACATACTACATTTGAAGGTGACTAATTCTGCAGCTTAATGACTGCTGTTGCCCCTATTCAATAGTATGGCAGCTATTTGCAGTTTTCTGATTTGTGATGATAATAGCTTGTGGTTGCTTGGACTGCCAGAGGAAAAATATCATGGCATGACACCACTTAAAAATCAGTGAAATAGAAAAAAATCAAGTATTTTTAAAATGGCATTCCTTAGCTTTGTTTTCTGAACTGTAAGAGTTCAGAATTAAACAGTAGCTTAATGAATTTCTTTTTTAAAATGTTTTCTCAATAGGAAAACCATCTGATACTTGAAGCCATATATATTTTATTCTTTGGAGTATTTCAGTTCCTCAGTACCAAAGTAGGAGCACCACCAACGTTGTTTTCACTTTGTTGTAATAGAAAGGTGGCAGGTGTGAGTTTTGGTCTCAGTTTTTCTACTCTTTAGCTGTATAACTTTGGATAAGTCATTTAATATTCTTAGATCTTAATTTTCAGCTTAGTAAAATGAGGAAGGCAACCAAGTGATGATAGCCTTATCTCCACTCAAATTCCCTTAATTCCAAGTTCATCAACCTCTTTAGCTCTCATGATCTGCACCTTCACTCCACTGTCACATATAGGAATGACTATTCCCTTGATCTCACCATCATCTATGAGTGTTTCCCCTCAAATATGGCCTTCCTTTATATGACCATAACCTACTATCTTTCCATCTCTCCATGTATCACTCACCAAAAACCCATTTTTCATCTTCACTGCAACATCCAGGCCCTCCAATCCTGCCTGCTTTCCCAGGCATATCTCTCTTGTTCTGACCTCTTACTGCCCTACTAAAATCTCACCCTGAGAGGTAATCCATTTAGCTTTGTACTACTGTCTTCTACCCCTGAGTCCCTTACCCTTTTTCTTCTGTTTTTATTTTTGTCTTGCTTATTCTTTTGAAACCCCTAACATTTCTGCTTTCTCCGCTCCTAAAAAGTGCTGCTGAACATAGATGAAGTCACAAACCATGCAGACTGAGTCCATTACACATCTCTGTTATATTATCTCAACTTAGGCCTCACTACAGCACACCATTCCTCTTACTGATTGATTCTCTACCTCATTCCTCTCATTGTTTGTTCCACATCTTTCCCCAAGACAGTTATGCCACCCTCCCCCATCCCTCTCAGCAATGAATCTAACCAAATAGTTATCATACACTTCATACTATACATCACCTCAACATCAACCCCACTTTCTCCTCAGATATTACAATACTGAAGGAAGAGCTGGCCCTTCTCTTCATGTTAATGACCTCCCCCTTTGTTCCCCTTCCCAAGATATTTCTGTTTGGGATGCTGCATACGTCTTTAATGGCTTCACAGCAAGAAGCCATAACATATCTAGGAACAAACTCCACTTTGTAAACTAGGAATGCAAAGTTCCTGGGACATCATCTCTCTGCCTCCTGCCTTTGTCTAGACTCATCCTATCTTTAAGCTATCATTCAGTTCCCTGTACCCCACACCAAGCATCAGTTCCACGCTTTCCTTCATCTGGCAGGCTGTTGTCATCTCTGGATCCCTGACTTTTGAGGGATTGCCTGCCCCTTTATCACCTTCTAAAGGAATCTGTACCTGAGCTTTGACTCTTTCCCTCAAAAGCTCAGAAGTCCTTTGATTCTTTGAAGTCAGCCCTCCAACACTCAACAACTTTAGGTTTCCCCAACTATTCTCTCTCATTTCATTTATTCATCTCTGAGCAGCTCAAACTACTAAAAAGGTTGTGGTTTGTCCTTTGTTCTTGAAGAGGACCATGACATCAGGAAGATGATGCCATAACATGCAAGTGAATTGGATTACAGTGAGGGCGGGCAGTGCAGTCACCAACCTCACTTTCTCCTCCAGAACCATCTGGGTCCAGTGGTCACATATAGATCAGGATGCAGTAGGAGACCCTGGTCTTTTTAAGCTGAGGTCTTTCCAGTTCTCACTTTGACTGGGGCAATGCCCATTCAGTGATTAGGGCTGTTTAAGAAATGAGCCAAGGGATGGCGGCTTTAATAAAAAAAAAAAATCAAACTGGGAGGGGGACATCCAATTCACTTGCAAATCATAGCATCATCTTCCTGATGCCATGATCCTCTTCAAGAGCAAAGGACAAACCACAACCCATGAGTAGTCCAAGCTGCCCAATGGAGACCCAACTGGTCAGTTCCAGTTGGGCAACTCAGCTTCTCCTTTCCTCTCCTCTCCTCTCTTCTCTCTACATGGGATGTCATGTCCTTACCTGAGGTTACTCCACCCAAAGGAAGGTCAATTTTGATGGCTGAAATCTACTTTAATATTGTAAGGTTTACTGGCTAGGTTTCTTTTTTCAAGACCAGGTCTGAAATCCAATTCACTCTAGCTCTCATTGATAGGCCAACTAGGTCACTGCTCAATCACCGCTTTTGGGCCCTAAAAGCTCAAAGTGAATATAATTGTTTCTCATTTGGCCAGAAACAACCCTGAGGGTCTCTCCTTGCCAGTTTGATTTTTTTTAATTAAAGGGGCCATCCCTCTGGAATAGCAAAAATCCTTTAGAAAAAAATCATTCCGCTATGAGGGGTTCTTATGGAAATACAGTGATAGAGGCTCCCATGTCACAGGACCTTCATTAACTAAGCTGCTTTCATTCTGGCTAATTACTCACTGTGCCTATCACACCAAGTCATTAGGAATGGTTGAAAGAGTTAATGGGATACTTAAAACCTCCCTTGCTAAATTCTCTGAGGAACTAGGTATCCCTTGGCCCAAAGCCCTTCATTTAGCCTTAGTTTGACCCAGCAATACCACTTCTAGGTCTGTATCCCAAAGAGATCATTAAAATGAGGAAAGGACCCACATGTACAAAATTATTTATAGCAGCTCTTTTTGTGGTGGGTAAAGAATTGGAAATTGAGGGGGATACCTATCAATTGGGGAATGGCTGATCAAGTTGTGGTATATGAATATAATGGAA